ATATATATATATATATATATATATATTTTTTTTTTTTTTATATATATATAAAAAAAAAAAAAAAAAAAATAAATATATATATATATATATATATATATATATATATATATATATATATATATATATATATATATATATATATATATATATATATATATATATATATATATATATATATATATATATATATATATATATATAATGAGTGATTTATGTATATCTCACTCAATCTTCTTTTTGATATTTTAAATGAATGCAATCTCTACATTTTAAATGATTTGTTTTCTTAGAATGAATTTACAACAAAAAATAATAATAATATATTTTTACAAATTTGACTGCTAAATTTGAATGCTCCATGATGGATTTTTTACAATTTTATATTATTATTATTTTTATTATTATTATTATTGCATAACATGCCATTATTATTATAAGAATATATTTTAGTGTATATTAAAATAATTAAATGAAAGTTGTATTTGTTTAACTCTCACCATACAAAATATAGTAGAAAACGATATTATATAGTTATAATTTATACTTCTACATATTTATAGGCGGCTCCCAGATTTCCTGGGGCGCTAAGCGGCCGCTTACCTCGTTTATTGGTTAAATCCGTCCCTGTTCACAGCCTATGCAGGTTCAGTTCACCAAAATAGGCATGGCGGGCATTTTCTGAGGTAAACATCATTTTTGAGTGAATTATACCTTATGAATACAGTATGTGACATTTTTAACACCACTTGGAGGTGTCCATGTTGCCGAGCAATGTTTATAAAATAATATGAAGACCTTTTATGGTTTTCTGTCCATGAAAATATTCACCTTATTCTTTGCCGACGAGCGGGCGCAGCCATTTGAATCTTTTTGGCTCATGACTTCCGGTCTCATTCACTTCCATTCATTTTTAGACGTTAAAAACGGCTCGTTACGCTGCTTGATGTTGCAAACTGATATTTTCCAATTATATTATTCTACTTGGTCTGTATATTAATGCAAACATTGTATTGTAGAGCAAGTAGTTTGACCGTTTTCTGCCGTTTATTATCCCTAGTCTTTTCTCCCATAGGCGACTGAATCAGAAGTTTTAAAACAATCTCGAAAACAGGCGCACTTCCGCATTTTAGAATTAGGTCAATAATTGGCTGAACTGTAGCGATGCTGGATTAAGATCGTGTTGGGGGTTGAATCGAGATCGCAACCTTTTTTTTTAATTAATCGTGCAGCCCTAGTTACCACGGCAACTTCTTTTGAAGTGAAGTTTCATAAACTAATTTCGAGAGGAGCACGTGATATGATTGAACACTGCTGGCCACTCATCCGTAATCAGTAACAATCCAATCAGAGGGATCCTAGCTTAATATAAATGGATCACTTTCCCCTTATTGCTCTATCTTCGTTTTGGAAGAATCCCCCCTTCCACCCCATCTCCACGCTTTTCTCCCCTTTCTAAAGGGTGAGCTATCGAGACCTAAAAGATCTCGGATCCCCTGATATGCTTATTGACCGGGCGGGAGCCCTGGGCTCAAATATCTCCGAGCTCAGGGTTCTCAGGGAGAGCATGCCAAACCTGCTATAAATGCCAAGCATATCTAAGTGGGAACTCTTGAAGTACAGTTTGGTATGTCTAGCTTCGTCCCTCCACCCTCAATCAAGTTTGTTTATAAGAAAAAGTTTGGGCACCCCTGCACTTTTGATTGAAATGGGGCTGTTTACCAATCCCGTCGCTCACTTTCAGTGTTTTTTTGGCGTTGGTGCTCACAGTGTGTAAATAGCTTTCATGTACCGCACTGTTATTAACACAGAAATGAGGTTATTATGAGTCGTCTAAAGACTCAGACATTCACTACATGATTTAAACAAGGAGCTATTGAAGAGCATAGTGATGATAATATGCCATTTTTTTTCTGTGATGAGAGAGAGAGAGAGAGAGAGAGAGAGAGAGAGAGTGTGAGAGCGAGCTCGGGCAGGGCAGAAAACGGGACCAAATTGTTTGCCAGAACTCTAAAGTGCATTTTGTATGCATAGCTCAACTCTTTATCCATTTGTATTCATACACTCATTTGCATGATTGAGTCCATGTGTATTTGAGCATTCTCATATCCTCTGTCTTGTTTATGTCTCTGAATGCCTTCGCTAGTCAGCGTTGCATGGATTTGCATGTTGGTTTTATGCATCCAGGTGTGAGACAATGGTTCAAGCTGGTGTTTGTCTATTTGTGTACAGTTTATAGGATCTGCTCGCGCTTTATAATTCATGTCAGAAGCATATGTTTTCTTATCACTTCATTTATATTGTGCCTCAGAATGTCAGGGTGTTGGAGTGTGTTTTACGGATTTGCATATTATCTTGTGAATATTTATGCCTCTGTAGATCGCACAATATTTACATCCACATATTTTAACCAAAGATGAACACATGCTGAAACAATGTGCAGAGTTTTATTTAATGAGTACTATAATAAAAAAAGGAATTAATATCAGTTAAATTAACTTCAATTAAAGTTAAATGTTATTTATATGTACATTTATATGACTGTATATTCGTCAAAGAGAGCTTCTTCCTAGGTAAGATTTTATTTGTCTTTTGTTTTAGTTTAGTCAAACAAAAATCTGTCACATGTACTAACCCTGGTTGTTTCAGTGCTGTATGTTTGCGTTTGTCCTTAAAGTGGCAGTGAATAACAGCATTACGCCCTATTCACACGGGGCTTCAGCGTCAACGCTTGACAGAGGGCGTGTCTGAAGTTGGAGCTGAAACGATCATCATAGAAGCGTCAGCCAATGAAATTCAGTCAGCAATAGGCCACTGTCTGAGCTGGTGTATTTGCATACAGCGATCTGATTGGCTGACGCTTCCGTCGGCGCTTGAAAAGTTGAGCTAGTCCCAACTTCTGCAGCGAGGAACGCTTCTGAAGTGGCGCTGACGGATCCACAATGCAGTTCGGCAACGTCTGACGTCACCCATTCAAAGTGAATGGGAAGCGTTGACGCTGAAGCCCCGTGTGAATAGGGCGTTATGCTTTAAAATCTTCTAAAGAATGCTTCCAAATAGGGGCGGCATGGAGGCTTAGTGGTTAGCACGGTCACCTCACAGCAAGAAGGTTGTTGGTTCGAGTCCCAGTTGGGCCAGTTGGCATTTGCATGTTTGTGTTGCTGTGGATTTCCTCCGGGTGCTCCGGTTTCCCCCACAGTCCAAACGCATGCGCAATAGGTGAATTGAAGAAACTAAATTCGCCGTAGTGTGTGTGAATGTGGGGTATGAGTGTTTCCCAATACTAGGTTGGAGCTGGAAGGGCATCCGCTGCTTAAAACAAATGCTGAATTAGTTGGTTCATTCCGCTTTGGCGACCTCTGAAATAGAGTAGGCTCAAGGAAAATGGGTGGTTGCATATAACAAGAGACCTATTGTTCTTTAGAGGTGTACTATAGGCTTTAGCGAATATCAAATGTAAATTAGATTATTATTTTACACTAAATATCTTTGAACATGCAATGAAAAAGCACATTAAAAAGAATAATGTTATACAAAAAAAAAAATAAATAAATCAACGCAACAGTTAATATATTCAAGTTATGACAACATCTAACAAAATTAAGTTCAGACAACAAGCTTTATTATGTCAGCCAAATCTTTTCCTTTTCAATCAGAGGTATTTTTACATAGCAAAAAACTCAATTTTTTAAGCTGAGTACTCAAAAAATAAGTTGTTTCACTTAGATTTTTAAATTAAAATTTAAAACAAATCCAGGGCGATGCAGTGGGTAGCACGTTCGCCTCACAGCAAGAAGGTCGCTGGTTCGATCCTCGGCTCAGTTGGCGTTTCTGTGTGGAGTTTGCATTTTCTCCCTGCATTCGCGTGGGTTTCCTCCAGGTGCTCCGGTTTCCCCCACTGTCCAAAGACATGCGGTACAGGTGAATTGGGTAGGCTAAGTTGTCTGTTGTGTATGAGTGTGTGTATGTGTGGATGTTTCCCAGAGATGGGTTGCGGCTGGGAGCGCATCCGCTGCGTAAAAACTTGCTGGATAAGTTGGTGGTTCATTCCGCTGTGGCGACCCCAGATTAATAAAGGGACTAAGCCGACAAGAAAATGAATGAATGAATGAATGAACAAATCCAGTGTTATATACTTAATTTATTTGAGGTTCTAAACTTGAAAACGTGCATGTAATTAAGTATTCGAAGTTGTTACATTTTTTTTTTTGTTTGTTTTCAAGAAAACAAAATTTAAATAGTAAGAAATACATTTAACAACAACATTTTTGTTTTCTGGTAATTTTTTATTTGTATTAAACCACAAGTTTTTATTGTTTAACAAAACAAAAACATGTACTGTCCCATATTATCAGTATAAAAAAATAACAAAACATCAGTGTGTGGACTTAAAAATACAAAACGACTCCATTAGTGTGGAAAAATTGAGTTATTAACCCAATTTCTTCATTCACTCATTGTCGGCTTAGCCCCTATATTAATCCGGGGTCGCCACAGCGGAATGAACCGCCAACTTATCCAGCAAGTTTTTATGCAGCGGATGCCCTTCCAGCCGCAACCCATCTCTGGGATCCATTCACACAAACACGCACTTATACACTACGGACAATTTAGCCTACCCAATTCCCCTGTACCGCATGTCTTTGGACTGTGGGGGAAACCGGAGGAAACCCACACGAACGCAGGGAGAACATGCAAACTCCACACAGAAACGCCAACTGAGCCCGAGGCTTGTACCAGCGACCTTCTTGCTGTGAGGCAACAGCTCTACCTACCGCGCCACTGCTTCGCCCTTCCAGAGAAACAATCGACCAAAAAAATAAAAGAAGTGTGAATGTAACTTTCCAATCTCCTCTAAAACTCTCAGCTCCCTCACAGGGAGACGACGGTGGCAATAATTCAGCTTTTAATGTAAAAGCACAGAGAAGCTTCGCATTTTAATAATCTCCTCTCTATAAACAGTCTTCATTAGCCAAATGCCAGATAGCTATCTGGCGAATGATCTATTGAATGGCGCAGATGTGGCCGCTGATGGCGATGAAGGCCCGGAGCCAGTGAAGGAGCTGCAGTATTAAGCAGAACAATAGAGCAATCACTGCTTTGATTGGTATTGATCTTGGAGCTGGAGGGACGAGCGAAATTGAAACTGACCAGTCGGACCCGGATCCTATTTGAATCAGAAAAGGTGGCGTGCCAAATGATGTCATGGCTCTGGCCGGACACAAGCTTGCTTTAATGGCTTTCGGACGGCACATTATTCTCCGTTAAGAGGAAATGTGAATCATTGTCAGGCCGTTTTCCCTGTGGGGGGAGGCGGGGAAATAGATTTATCATCCTCCCTTTCATTCTTTTATCCTCATCTTTACGTCCGTTCTGTCACTGTAGTCTTTATGATGAGGATCATGATCACACAATCATCCTGTCAAAATGCTTTATATGAGCTTGATTAGTTGTGATAAAGCCTCGCATGCAATGTTGGCCCAGAGTTGATCAGAATTCAGTCAACATCGTCCTCTGCGCTAGCCAAACACAAATCACAGACGGGAGAAAAAAAGCGAGTAAAGAAAAGGTATCCTATCATTGTGGCACAAAAGCAAGAGGACACTATCGATTTGAGATCTGTTTTTGTCAGCCCTCTTTATCCCATCCTAAAACAAGCTTTGCTCTTTTTTTTATTTCTTTCTCTGAAGTGATGCTTGCTCAAGCTGCCATGACAGATACAGTAAAACAGCTCTTCACCGCCAGGCCTTTTAAAGATGAGCCGTTAAACCCCAGATTAGCACCGAGATTCTCATGTTTTTCTGGCTCAAAGGGGGTTCGAAGAGGAGGACCGGCGCTGGAGGTCATGACAGCCCTCCTCCTTCACTTTTTTCCCCCTCCGATTTGTTGAAAAATCTCTCCACGCCCTCCTGCTTTAAAGCGTTCACACTGCCGACTCTCTCTCTGGGACGAGGGTCTGGCTCCGAGCTCCGTGACCTTGAGGTGCTTCGCTAGACGCTAAATCAATTCGACTGACATCGTCCAACCCTTCAAGTCATTGCTAATTCAATAGAAATTTTATTGCATGCAGAAAAAGATCTCACTTGCTTGGACTCGGTAGAACTTGGCCTTTTATCTGCTGCTGGATTTATAAACCGTAGATGGATGAGATTGATGTAGCCTGAAGGAGTGAAGCGTTTTTGTTTTGTTTTTTGATGTTCAGAGAGTGCTCGGGGTTAGAGTGTTATATGCTACGTTGAATATTAACATTATTAATATCATGATGATGTTAAAATGGGAAACCTTGTGTTATGTGTAATAGTGTTTGTGTAAGTTACTTTAAAAAAGTAATAGATTATAAATTACTGAAAAAATTTACTAAAACATTTTTACTCTCTGATTCCTGCAAATACTCTGGAACCATTTTTCTACATTCTCATAAATTCTCATGTTTTTATATTTTTTCATACAGTAAAATTAAATTTGGAGCAAATAGAAAAATATTGAATATCATTAAAATATAAAACATATTTTTTTTGTCATAAATTCTTGCTATATTGCACAGAATTACTTTGAATTAAGCTTTCTTTAATGAAGTTGCTTATCAAATGGCGCTGGCAATGAGCCAGGATACCCTCAGCTCATCTTCGCAACATGAAATTAATAATTAAATGAGATGCATATGATCTGTTTGCAATCCGTGCGCTTGTTTACGTCGTTTCTTGTATCACGCTCTTCCTATTTGTGTTTTGTTTGACCAGACAGGGATAACGCTGTGGGTGTGACTCCAGCGTCTGAATATTCACCTTTTGTCCCATGGAAATTAGCATATAGATAACTATACCACTGATTTTCATGCAGTGCACAAGTCCCTGGAGAGCGGCGCGGAGGAGGCTTGTTGTATGGAGGTTGGAAAGCCAGCTTGGTAAAAGACCATGTCCGCTCGCTGCGTTCTCCTTTCTTATGACGCCTTTCATTTTCCACTTTGAGTCGAAAGTTAAAAGACCTTTCTCTTTCCTGGCCGGCCTTCAACTGATGCGGCTAATAAAACAGTTACAGAGGGAAGACCACTTGAAGAAAGTTTGCCATTGATGAATTAACATGCAGTCCCATCCTTCTCCCTGTCTGCTTGGAACTACTGTGCAATGAGCCCTTATTTCTGTCACATTAATTTTGTTTGAAAAAAATGAAGGGAAAAAAATGGCTCAAATTTCCCTAGACGCCCCTTAATATCTGTACTGGGAGCCGTAAATGTTGCTTTTCCCAGCATTTTTCAGTCTTTATTATACAAAGTTTTATAATTAACTGACACCTCATCTCACTGGAGGATTTGCAATTTTTTCCCCCAAGTTTTATTACATGTACGACATTTTTTATTTATTTATTTTCTTAAGTAATCAGTAGATGAGTTCAATCCATAGTGTACTGGTTTGCAATTTGCATTTTTTTATTATTATAATCTACACTTTCATTTTGAGATGCGTACGGCTATGAGATTTGATTTTCTGGAACATTTCTCACGAGACAGATTGCGGTCCTTGCTGAAACGTCTCTGTAATATGACAGATGGGCCAGAATCGATCCATTAACAGAGGCGAAACGAAAGTGACGTAATTGATCTCCATAACATTTACTGCTTTCGCTTTACACTGGCTTTGCGGACCTCCACAATACCCTCATGTCTTTTACAGAAACAACACCCTATAGATCAGGGGTGGGCAAACTCGGTTCTGGAGGACCGGTAACCTGCAGAGTTTACCTCCAACCATGATCAAATACACTTGCCTATAGCTTTCTAGTGATCTTGAAGACAATGCTTAGCATGTTCAGGTGTGTTTGATTAGTGTTGGAGCAAAACTCTGCAGGACACCGGAGTTTGCCCACGCCTGTTATAGATTTACCAGACCTCCATTTGAGTCCATTCCAGAACAGCAGAGTTTTACTTTTGGATGAACTATTCATTAAAGGGGACCTACTATGCCCCTTTTTAAAGATGTCTTAAATGTTTCTATAGAGTGTATGTGAAGTTTCAGCTCAAAACCAAACAAATTTATTTATTTTATTTATTTACATTTTTATTTATTTTTTAATTTAATTTTTTAAATATTTAATATAATAATTTTTATTTTATTTTTAAATTTAAATTATTATTTTTTAAATTTTATTTTATTTATTTATTTACAAATGTATTTATTTAAACAAATAATGTTTAAAACTCTTTGAAACTGACCTTTTTGCACGTTGATCCTAGTTGTGTAATTTTGGCGACTGTCACTTTAAATTCAAATTGGATTGTGCTCTTTCAAAAGAGGGCGGAGCTACAAATGCCTATGTGTCAACGTGGTGGCATATACAAAAACATCCTATGCCAATTAGGGAGAGATCATCACTAGTGGGCGGGGCCTTTAACCTCTAATGACGTGCAATGGGATATCAAAGTGTCAATCAAAGTGTTTCTACAGACTGTTTTTATCAAGTGGTTATAAACAATAAAATTAAGTAATGTTTACCCTCAGAAGCTGGTTATATTCACAAACTGCTGCCACACAATTGTGTTAACTCCTTATAAAAGTGATTTTGGCATAATAGGTCCCCTTTTAAGGCACACGGAAACCCACTAAGAAGGATCATAACAAAAAGTGACGTAATTGATCTCCATAACATTTACTGTTTTCACATTACGTTCACATTGCCATTACAAAACAGCAGAGGTTCACTTTTGGATGAACTATTTATTTAAAGGGGACCTATTATGCCCCATTTTAAAGATCTAGAATAACCCTCTGATGTCCCTAGAGTATGTATGTGAAGTTTCATTTAAAAATTCAACACAAATAATGTTTTAGAACTCTTTGAATCTGCCCCTTTTTAGACTTTGATCATAATTGTGGCGTTTTGATGACTGTTGCTTTACATTCAAATAAGATTTTGCTCTTTTTCAAAAGAGGGCGGAGCTACAAATGCATATACGTCAGCATAGTGGCAGATTCAAAAACAAGGCTAACATCCTGTACCGACTAGGGAGAGATTGTCACTAATGGGCGGGGCTTTCCCCCTCTGATGACACGTACAATGTAAACATGGCTTTTAACCTCTAATGACGTGCAATGGGATAATGTAAATCAAAATGTTTCTAAAGACTGTTTTTATGAAACGTGATTATAAACAATGAAATGAATACATGTTTACCATTTGAAGATGGTTTTATTCACACTCTGTTGCCACACAACTGTGTTTAGGTCCCCTTTTAAAGCACATGGGAAAACCACTAAAAATGATCATAACATTCCATAACATCTACTGCTTTCACTATACGTTGGCCTCAACTCAACACCTTTATCTCTTTTACAGGAACAACACCTTATAGATCAGGGGTGGGCAAACTTGTTCCTGGAGGGCCGGTGTCCTGCACAGTTTAGCTTCAACTCTAATCAAACACACCTGCTTATAGATTTCTAGTGATCTTGAAGACACTGATTAGCATATTCAGGTGTGTTTGAATAGTGTTGGAGCTAAACTGTGCAGGACACCGGCCCTCCAGGACCAAGTTTGCCCAACCCAGCTATAGTTTTACCTGACCTTCATTTGAGTCCATACCAAAACAGCAGATTTTCACTTTTGGATGTACCGTTCATTTAAAGGGGACCCATTATGCCTATTTTAAATATTTTAAATAGGTCTCTGATGTCTCTACAATATATATGTGAAGTTTCAGCTCAAAATACAAGACAAATAGTTATTTAAAGCCTTTATAACTGCACCTTTTAGGCTTTGATCCTAATTTTAGCCATTTTGGCGACTGTCGCTTTAAATTCAAATGAGATTTTCAAAAGAGGGCGGAGCTAACAAATGCCTGTGTGTCAGCAGACTAACATCCTGTACCAATTAGGGAGAGATTGTTACTAGTGGGCGGGGCTTTTGACCTTTGATGACACGTACAGCAGGAGAATGTCAATCAAAGTGTTTCTGCAGACTTTTTTTTTATCAAATGGGATAATAAACAATACAATTAATAAACAATTACCATTAGAAGCTGGTTATATTCACACACTATTGCCTAACACCTGCATTTAAACCTCTTATATAAGTGATTTTTGCATAATAGGTCCTCTTTGGTAACCCACTAAAAATGATCATAACATTCCATGACGTTCTCCTTAACATTTACTGCTTTCGCTTTATGTTGGCTTTGTAGACCCCCTTAACGCCCTTCTCTCTTTTACAGAAACAACACCCTAGATTTACCTGACCTCCATTTGAGCTGAGTTTTCTCGAATCGCTGCTTATATCAGGAAAGTTTAATGCGTTTCCTCCAAAGCCCCCATTCTCCAAAATGGGATCAAAAAGTCACGGCCGACACTACAGCGACCCTTACGCGAGCTGGTGTCTGCTGTATGATGAGGTAGAGAGAAAATCAAATCTGTAAATGTCACCCTCCCCTTATTCAGACAAGCTTCGAATTTGCCTTCTGAAGCAGATTTCTCCGAGCATTTGTCATCGCACCGTTCTTAATTTGAAGAGTTTCTAAAGGATGCGCCGCGATCTGAGACAAAAGCGCTTACGGCAGGTGAAATGGTGAAAATACAGTCTGCAAATAAACAAATGCAAACAGAAAATGTCCGTCAGAGCTGACAATTTAATAGAAAAAGAGACCGCTTTCATTTAAAAGTGACATTGGGGCTGATGAGGTGTGGAAAGTTTTTGTGTCCATTCTTGTCTTTTTACATTTTGCAGTGGCGAAGCTCCATCTGTTTCGACACCGGCCCATGTACGCGCACGCGATAGATGCTTACAGAGTCATTAAAGAAGGCAGATATGCAGTAATTCTCAGAGGGAACATACTGGAGGATGGACCTTCTTTGTGCTTGCCTTGGGTGAACAGAAATGTGGCTCTGCAGATTTCGAAGTGCGAGAACTCATTTCGCATACGCTTTGCCATTTAGATCTGTCCGCTCAATTAAAAGCCATTAATTATGAATGTGTGCGAGAAATGTCAAAACATTTCAACAGACACCTTTGGAGATGATTTTGTTTTTTTAATAAATCCCGTTTATCGATTTACCTCTTTAGGATTGCATTGTGCCAAGAGGATTAAAAACGGAGACCCCCTCCACACACATTGGTCGTGTTAACAAATGTTTCTGAATTTTAAATTGAATATGTATATTGAAACTGGTATATTAAGTGTTTTTGTGATATCAGTGTAACTTTCATTCATTTTCCTTTGGCTTAGTCCCTTATTTATTAAGGATCGCCACAGCGGAATGAACTGCCAACTGTTCCTGCATATGTTTTATGCAGCGGATGCCCTTCTAGCTGCAACCCAGTACTGGGAAACACCTATACACACTTGCATTCACTCACTCCTACACTACGGCCAATTTAGTTAATCCAATTGACCTATGTGCTGTGCGATTTGGAGAAAATATCTATTAGCTATTTTTTTTTTTTTGGAGAGATGTTGCGATTTCGATTTGATTTCCCATTTAATTTAAGCTTTAAGCTGATTTTAATTTAATTCAAGCTTCAGCGCAATAATCTGATAGCTGTGGCAACAATTCTGTGACAGCGCTTAAAACATTTCTTGACATAGGGTGTTGTGGGGAGTCATAAGTGGCAAATGGGCACGGTAACACAAGATTCAATTTTTTCTTCCTGTGTAATAGCATAGTTCATGACAACAAATACCATGTCCGTGTTGCCTCCCGACACTATCGCAGAAAAGTCTAGCATGTTTAATTTTCTGCAGTATAGCGGACTAGGTTGTAAAGCACTTCACCTTCAAATGTTATTCGTTATATATATATATATATATATATATATATATATATATATATATATATATATATATATATATATAT